CCAGTGAGTGCTGAAGGTCGCAGACCGATGAAGCCATTAGAACCACATCATCTGCAAAAAGCAGTGGTGCAATCCTTAGTCCACCGAACTGCAGACCCCCTCCCCCATGACTACGCCTCGAAATCCGATCCATGTATATTACAAACAGGATTGGTGACAAAGCGCAGCCCTGGCGGAGGCCAACCCTCACCGGAAATGGGTCCGACTTACTGCCGAGGACCCGGACACAGCTCTCGCTTTGGGAGTACAGAGATTGGATGGCCCTGAGTAGAGACCCCCCTCACCCCATACTCCCGCAGCACCTCCCACAGTACCTCCCTGGGAACTCGGTCATACGCCTTCTCCAAGTCTACAAAACACATGTAGACCGGATAAGCGTACTCCCAGGCCCCCTCCAGGATCCTTGCGAGAGTAAAAAGCTGATCCGTCGTTCCACGACCAGGACGGAATCCGCATTGTTCCTCCTCAATCTGAGGTTCGACAATCGGCCTGACCCTCCTTTCGAGTACCTTAGAGTAAACTTTCCCGGGGAGGCTGAGTAGTGTGATGCCTCTGTAATTGGCACACACCCTCTGATCCCCCTTTTTAAATAGGGGAACCACCACCCCGGTCTGCCACTCCTTCGGTACTGTTTCCGACTTCCACGCAACGTTGATGAGACGTGTCAACCATGACAGTCCCTCAACACCCAGAGCCTTCAGCATTTCCGGGCGGATCTCATCCACCCCCGGGGCTTTGCCACTGTGGAGTTGTTTGACGACCTCAGTGACCTCCCCCCGGGAGATTGGTGTTGATCCCCCGTCATACTCCAGCTCTGCCTCTAACATAGAGGGCGGAGTTGTCGGGTTCAGGAGTTCCTCAAAGTGTTCCTTCCAACGCCCTAACACTCCATCAGTTGAGGTCAACAACGTCCCATCCTTACTGTACACAGCTTGGATGGTTCCCTGCTTCCCCCTCCTGAGGTGTCGGACAGTTTTCCAGAACAACTTTGGTGCCGCCCGAAAGTCCTTCTCCATGTCTTCTCCGAACTTCTCCCACACCCGCTGCTTTGCCTCGGCCACGGATGAGGCTGCTGCCCTTCGGGCCTGTCGGTACCTTGCAACTGCCTCGGGAGTCCCCCGGGATAACAAATCCCTGAAGGCCTCCTTCTTCAGTCGGACGGCTTCCCTGACCACCGGTGTCCACCAGGAGGTTCGAGGGTTACCGCCCCTTGAGGCACCTAGGACCTTGAGACCACAGCTCCCCGCCGCGGCTTCGGCAATAGAGGCTTTGAACACCGACCACTCTGGTTCAATGTCCCCAACCTCCACAGGAATGCCCGAAAAGCTCCGCCGGAGGTGTGAGTTGAAGGCCTCCTGAACTTGGGCCTCCTCCAGACGTTCCCAGTTCACCCGAACTACACGTTTGGGCTTACCAGGTCTATCCAGAGGCTTCCCCCGCCACTCGACCCAACTCACCACCAGATGGTGATCAGTTGACAACTCCGCCCCTCTCTTTACCCGAGTGTCCAAAACATACGGCCTCAGGTCCGATGATACGATAACGAAATCGATCATGGACCTTCTGCCTAGGGTGCTCTGGTACCACGTACACTTATGAGCATCCTTATGTTCGAACATGGTGTTTGTTATGGCCAATCCATGACTAGCACAGAAGTCCAGTAACAAACCACCACTCCGGTTCAGATCAGGGGGGCCGTTCCTCCCAATCACGCCCCTCCAAGTGTCTCCATCATTGCCCACATGTGCGTTGAAGTCTCCCAGCAAGATTAAAGAGTCCCCTTCAGGAGCCCCATACAGGACTCTTTCCAGGGTCTCCAAGAAGGCCGTATACTCTGAACTGCTGTTGGGTGCATAAGCACACACAACAGTCAGAGTTTTCCCCCCCATAACCCGCAGGCGTAGGGAGGCGACCCTCTCGTCCACTTGGGTAAACTCCAACAACGAAGCACCTAACCGGGGACTTGTGAGTATCCCCACACCCGCCCGGCGCCCTCACACCTTGAGCAACTCCGGAGAAGAATAGAGTCCAACCCCTATCCAGAAGTAAGGTTCCAGAGCCGACGCTGTGCGTAGAGGTGAGCCCAACCAGATCCAACTGGTAACGCTCCACCTCCCGCACAAGCTCCGGCTCCTTCCCCCCCCAGAGAGGTGACGTTCCACGTCCCCAAAGCCAGCTTCTGTCGCCCGGGTCTGGTCCGTCGAGACCCTCCGCTTTCACTGCCACCCTTCTGGCAGCGCACCCGACCCCATTGATGTTTCCCGTAGGTGGTGGGCCCGCGGGACGGAGAAGCGGAGGTGTTGCCCACGTTGCCTTTTCGGGCTGGGCCCGGCCGGGCTCCGTGGCAAGCCCGGCCACCAGACGCTCGCCGACGAGTCCTCCTTCTGGGCCTGGCTCCAGAAGGGGACCCCGGGCTTCCTCCGGGCCGGGTATCCTCACTTTTTGTATCGTCTTTCATGAGGTCTTTTGAACCAATCTTAGTCTGGCCCCTTGCCTGAGACCAATTTGCCATGGGAAACCCTACCAGGAACACAAGGTTCCAGACAACACAGCCCCCAGGTTCATCAGGGCACACAAACCTCTCTACCACGGTAAGGTGCTGGTTCTTCAGAGAGTGACTTTATTTTTCATTAGAATTGTTTCTATTAGTTTAGAGTAATCTACACTGCTGCAGCTCAAATGTACTAAGAGAAATGGTTCTGTGATCATATGTATACATTTCCTCGTCTCATGAACATACACAGATTCGACCACACTTACATATGTTCTCGTTACATTGCTGCCCTTCTGGAATTGAGCCATGTTATATTATCAGGAGTGGAGAAAGAGACCAAGTCTGTGCCTCCTCTGTCTGCCTGACACTGTTGATGGGCTAACTGTGCTGTACATGAATAACAGAAAAGGATTCAAATGGGTAACACTTTTTATCACTGCTCATTGTCCAACTGTTCTGCTCTCCCTCTCACAGAGAGGCAAAACATAAACTCACACGGTCTGACAAAACCGAGGAAATGATCTGTTGAGAGCCTGCTGAAATGTTGTTTTGCACTTTGTTTGGATATATCAGGTTGAACTGAAGTCACATGAACATCAAAACAGCATCACATTTATTTCCAGGAAACAAATTAAGTTATTACCAAGGATTAGATACCACAAAGTCGTATTTTAGCTGGCAGTCTGTGAAAAAGTCATAGGCGGCAATAGCCATTAAAAATAAAATACACACACACACACACACACAAATACAAATGATAAAGATGTTTATTAGGCACATGATATTTATTTTTGATAACTTTTTGTGTATTTAGTCCAATACAAAATGCCTATTAGCCCAAAACACTGGACTGACATCCTGTAGCAGCAAGCACAATGACATACATTAGGGCAAACAAGTATTTAGTCAGCCACCAATTGTGCAAGTTCTCCCACTTAAAAAGATGAGAGATGCCTGTAATTTTCATCCTAGGTACACTTCAACTATGAGAGACAGAATGGGGGGAAAGAATCCAAGAAATCACATTGTAGGATCTTTAATGAATTAATTGGTAAATTCCTCGGTAAAATAAGTATTTGGTCACCTACAGTACAAACAAACAAGATTTCTGGCTCTCACAGACCTGTAACTTCTTCTTTAAGAGCCTCCTCTGTCCTCCACTCGTTAACTGTATTAATGGCACCTGTTTGAACTCGTTATCAGTATAAAAGACACCTGTCCACAACCTCAAACAGTCACACTCCAAACTCCACTATGGCCAAGCAGCTTGGTGTGAAGAAATCAACTGTGGGAGCAATTATTAGAAAATGGAAGACATACAAGACCACTGATAATCTCCCTCGATCTGGGGCTCCACGCAAGATCTCACCCCGTGGGGTCAAAATGATCACAAGAACGGTGAGCAAAAATCCCAGAACCACACAGGTCAATGACCTGCAGAGAGCTGGGACCAAAGTAACAAAGACTACCATCAGTAACACACTATGCCACCAGGGACTCAAATCCTGCAGTGCCAGACGTGTCCCCCTGCTTAAGCCAGTACATGTAAAGGCCCGTCTGAAGTTTGCTAGAGAGCATTTAGATGATCCAGAAGAGGATTGGGAGAATGTCATATGGTCAGATGAAACCAAAATAGAACTTTTTGGTAAAAACTCAACTAGACGTGTTTGGAGGAGAAAGAATGCTGAGTTGCATCCAAAGAACACCATACCTACTGTGAAACATGGGGGTGGAAACATCATGCTTTGGGGCTGTTTTTCTGCAAAGGGACCAGGATGACTGATCCGTGTAAAGGAAAGAATGAATGGGGCCATGTATCGTGAGATTTTGAGTGACAACCTCCTTCCATCAGCAAGGGCATTGAAGATGAAACGTGGCTGGGTCTTTCAGCATGACAATGATCCCAAACACACCGCCCGGGCAACAAAGGAGTGGCTTTGTAAGAAACATTTCAAGGTCCTGGAGTGGCCTAGCCAGTCTCCAGATCTCAACCCCATAGAAAATCTTTGGAGGGAGTTGAAAGTCTGTGTTGTCCAGCGACAGCCCCAAAACATCACTGCTCTAGAGGAGATCTGCATGGAGGAATGGGCCAAAATACCAGCAACAGTGTGTGAAAACCTTGTGAAGACTTACAGAAAACATTTGACCTCTGTCATTGCCAATAAAGGGTATATAACAAAGTATTGAGATGAACTTTTATTATTGACCAAATACTTATTTTCCACCATAATTTGCAAATAAATTCTTTAAAAATCAGACAATGTGATTTTCTGGATTTTTATTAAATCTTATATACTGTAGTTCTGGACAGCGTCAGATCTATGTCTTTTGGTACATTCTAGATTTTTCAAATTCTACATGTCACTTTTTGCCATATTAACACCTTATAAATAACAAACTGGACACATTTTAAATCAAAGCAGGTCAGTGCTGCAGTGATGTTGCACAAATAATAAAAAATATATCTGCTTTTGGCATTAATCTCTCTCACTCTCTCTCCATCCAGGTCTATTTAAAGGCTCCCATGATTTTGAACGGGGTGTGTGTGACCTGGAGAGGCTGGATTGACCTACAGAGACTGGATGGGATGGGATACCTGGAACTGGATGAAGAGAGGGCGCAGGTAACACAGCACACGCATGCAGACTGATTTATGTCTTTTGGTGTGAACAACCCATTCTAATTCTCAACTCGTCACATATAAACACTTGGTCAGTACTCCTTGGGTTCACATTTTAATATAATGAGTAGCCCTATGTGTCTAACCAGCAGTGGTTATTGTTCTGTATTGAAACAAAATAACTAGGTTAGGTAAAGGATAAGATTGTGGTTTGGGTAAAAAATAAGTCAAGTAACATTTTTGAAATAACTCCCTCCTAAACAAACTTTATCACTACGTCAGGTTTTCTATGCATCTCATTACAACATTAAAAGGTGCCTTCATAATCGGGATCAGACTTCAAGGGGTGTGACAAAATGTTGCTACTTGACGCCCTGGGAATGAGACCAGGATGGTTTGCATGAATAGAAAAACCACATCTTCCCCTGTCTCATCTCACTCTTTATCTGTGTCTTTATCTGTGTCTGTGTGTGTGTGTGTGTGTGTGTGTGTGTGTGTGTATGTGTGTGTGTGTGTGTGTGTGTGTGTGTGTGTGTGTGTGTGTGTGTGTGTGTGTGTGTGTGTGTGTGTGTGTGTGTGTGTGTGTGTGTGTGTGCCTGCAGCAAGAGGACGCTTTGGCCCAAGCAGCCTTTGAAGAGGCTCGACGCAGAACCAGAGACTTTGAAGACAGAGACCGATCACACAGAGAGGATCTTGAGGTGAGAGGTCCTGTAATGGCGATGTTTAAAGGGAAATGATGCTTAATCTAAAAAAGAAGCTGACTGCTGCTTGATAGTTTAGCCCCAATCGTGTCTGCTTCTGCTTGAGACCTGTCTTAGCCTCACAAAGCCGGCCTAATCATCAGATAAATATCTGAGTCTCGTTAAAGGCCCTGACACACCAAGCAGTCACCAGAGGACTCGCCGACGTCGGCTGTTGCGTCGCGGTGTTCTCCTGCGTCTTGGCCATGTGTCGCACGGGAACACACCGCAAAGACTTCAGTGCGTGAGTGGCAATAACTCTCCTTACCAGCAGGGCGGGCGGTAGTGTGTATTCGTCATTAAAAATAGGCAACAACCGGAAGACAGAGAAGAAGAACAGGACTGCGTGATATAAACAACAACAAAAGCGTGTGCAAACTGCAGCCTGGTTATGATCCACTGCTGTCTGCCTGCCTTTGGTGCTCCACAACTACCCGAAGGGGCAAGTCTCCTGTACCGGGGTGTACTGGGTTCGCAGAGAATCCCCACTTCTTCCTCAGCTCTTTCTCTGAAGCACACAAATAAACGATAGTAAGCATTGTGGCTAGTTAGCATGTCCAATTCATATCTATATGCAGTGCCAAACTGCACAGCTAGCAACAAGATAACAACAAAACACAAAGTTGAAATAACAAATTACATTTCACGTTAACGTCACTGTACGCTGGCAAACAATAAAAAGCCAACAATATCTGCTAAAGAGCTCAATTGATGAAAAAGATAATCTTACCCGAGAAACCAAGTTGCGTTTCAATCTCTCGCCAGAGTCCGGTTTTTACTACTCGGTTCGAGTACCTTTTCTCTGTGATGTCGTACAGAGCTGGCCTCTCCTGGATCAATGTGATGAGCAGGTCTTCGTTTGCGTCATTCCAGATCGCCATGATGAGATGAAAATGAATATCAGTCTGTGTGTGCCTTCTTAAATCGTTTGTTTACGTCCCTCACTTCCGTTTCGCTTCTCATGCACTGATTCGCAAGCTGAACAGCCAATCAGAGTGATTGTTTGGTCCGACTGCCAGACCCGATGCATGGCCGATTCAACATGTTGAATCGGCCATGCATCGGGTCTGGCAGTCCAAATAAGGCGTGTCACGGTCGACGGTGCGGGACATACCAAATTCAGTTTGGGCGACAGGACACGCTTCGTCTCCCGACTTACGAAAACAGCCGAAATCGGCCTGGTGTGTCAGGGCCTTAACATGCCATGTGAACTATGAGTTTAACCTCTTTACTGTGTTTTACATTATAATGACTTTTCCCCCGTCTGACTCAACCACTTATTTAAGATTAACTTAACTCAAAATTGAAACACATTGTTTCACTTAAACACAGCATCACTGTTGGGTGTGCATCTTGGAGTACACCCAGTGATGATTTATTGTCTCATGCCTGATTACACTTCTGCACCACTGGAGGACATCAAGTACATTACAAGCATTTCAGCTGTTATTAAAAGAATACTTCACCCACAAAATGACCACCACTTACAAATGATCCTGTGCTACCTTCAATTCTTAAAGAAAACTGTGTTGTTCTCACATGCTTTCTCCCAGTAAACAAAGAATCAAAGAAACTGAGAACATTTTTGATAAACTGAGGTAAATGGGGGCTGGATTTAACAATGACCTGATGAATGAGACTTGGATTCAATTACACGACTGCAGATGTTTTTAATGTATTTTTCTGTTGTTAAACGCCACCCCTGTTTTCTACAATTCATCGAGAACTTTCTCGTTTTCTTTAATTTTCATTCACCGTGGAGGCATGCGTGGTAAAAGATACATTTTTTCTTCAAGAATTCAATATAGCATGAAATAAGTAATTAATATACAAAGGCCAATTTTGTGAATTAAGAATTTATTTGTAAAGCAAGAACTGTTAATGCAAATTAAAACACGATTCAAAACGTCCTTCTTTTTGGAGCTCAAATGTATGTAGAAACGGAATTTATCGAATGAGGTCTTTCCACAAGAGAATTGACCAAAGATATTCAAGCAGGTGGCTCATTCATCTGACCATGTGTAGAAACATTGTCTCACATGTTGAAGTCTGAGTGAAGCTGTTATTTCTCTGATACGAGTCCTCCCTTGGGAGACGACCTTAAGCAAAAAGGGAAGTTTCAGATTGTGGGCTGGCTTTGTTAGTCTAGCAAAACCCTTCCAAGTGTATAAGTCTAGCCTCTAGATTTGCAAAAGGTGTTTTCAGATTTTTTTAAAATATGACACCTAAATAAATCATCATCTAAACAGCTTGTTAACAGTACATTGTGCACCGTGTTCTTTGCAAAACATTTCAAAAATATTAAAGTCACATTAAGAGACTTAGTAAATGATAAATACTCCAGATCAGGCAAAAGTGACTACAATCTGTTCTAAATGTGTCATAATAATTTATTTGTAAGTCTTTAATTAATTGTAGTTACGATATGGCAGGACACCATTTCATTAAAGACATATAGACGCAGTCCAAGTCAAATTTCCATTTGGGTTTTATTTGCTTAGCACCTGGCTTTTGTGTGATGTGTGGTTGTGTGCTTTTACAGTATTATTTGTAAATGTAAACATACCATTTATAGTTTGAATCATAGGTTAAGTGCATAATCAGTTTGACAATAAATCCAATCTGATTATTGATTTGATTTTACTGAACTATTGAATGACTTATTCAGTTTTTGTCATGTGTCCCAAAAGCCTCCGGAGGAAAAGTAGTTGATTCACCCGTGCTGCAGATCACAGAAAAATAACGTCATTTTGACTAACCCAAATTACAGGAATTGTGAAATACCAACCTCAAAAATTGTCGTAAGAGCTGTTCTTAAATTAAGTTTTGTTAATGGTATAATCATCATGTTCACATTTCTGCTCAGTGTCCTACTCAAACACATTAACAAATATAAACACTGAATCACTGTGATTTTTGTAACCATTCCAAAAGCATTTAACAACTTGAAGAAACTCACTGTCCCAGCAAGGCTTTGGGGATGTCAATGGCATGTGGACGAAGTTACAAATGAACCCCAAATTGTTTACTTTTTAGGACCCTGTGGTTTCTAAAATCTGGGACTGATGACACACAGACAGGCAGCCAGCAGAAAAGAAAATGGTCTGTGTCCTTAATTTCTCACCATCTATCACACTGTCATTCACTAAACCACTGTGTGTGTGTGTGTGTGTGTGTGTGTGTGTGTGTGTGTGTGTGTGTGTGTGTGTGTGTGTGTGTGTGTGTGTGTGTGTGTGTGTGTGTGTGTGTGTGTGTGTGTGTGTGTGTGTGTGTGTGTGTGTGTGGTGTGTGTGTGGTGTGTGTGTGTGTGTGTGTGTGTGTGAACTCTGTTTTGATTTTCATTATGTGTCTGTTCATAAATATGCATGCTCTTCTTTGCTTCTGCTTTGTGTATTAGCTGATTGCATGAGACACAGAAACTGCTAAATGTAACCATTTCACAGCGTGTTTGTACAATGGTGCCCGCTTGCACACATAAACACACACACACACATGCACAATTCAAGCCCGACCACAGATCTGCGGAACATGGTGCTTCACAAATTAGACAGAAAGGGAAGGCAGGGACTCGGCACATGTAGGGAAGAGGGGCGTGAGAGAAGCACGGACAAGGGGGACAGGAAGGAAAGAGACATTATGAAGGTCATCTTTCATCTGACTTATCTCATGTTTCCTCCCTGAGGCTCTTAGAGAAAAAGAAAACCCTGTGTCTCCTACTCAATCAATATAAGTGCCATCACCATCCCCTACTCTACACCAAAGCAAATCCTACTTAGCAATAAACCGATTTCAATGACTGATTCTTAATAAAACCATCCACTTTGTAAAACAATTATTTAGATTTGACATTAGAAATAATTAAGGTAAAATTAAAATTAGACTTTTGTCCCACTTTAGTTTCTATTCTAGCTTTGCCGACATTTATTTATTATTTTTATCAACATGTTTCACTCGCAGAGGTTTTGATAGTTTTCAATGATGTGTATAATGAGAGAACATTAAGCTAATAGTTTATAAGAAGGTCAAATTAAAGGAATATTCTTTTTTGGTGGAAAATTGACACCTTTCTCTTTGAGACTGATAAAAGAATGAAGACATTTCTCAAAACATCTAACTACCCTAACAAATATATGTGGTGGCCAAAGCCTGAAAGGAAATAGGAACAAGCTGAAAAACAGCAATACTGTTTAGTGTGTTTTCTTGCTCATTAAGTCAAAGGTTAAATTAAATTAATCTATCTAATATTTACAGTCCAGTATATGTGTAAAATATACATTTCTTCCAGTTAAATCAATAATAGATGATCAGGAATAGAAGCTAAATGCAGATATTTTGCCCAAAGTCACCAACAATAACATTTTATATTTTCATGCCAAAATATTGATTTGAGTAGACATTTTAGATTAAGGTAGATTTAATTGCAGTAATGCTCAACAAATAAAACAGTAATGCCATTTGTTCACTGTGTGCTCCCAGAAAGCTGTTTCTCTTTCCATTCCTGAAGCGTTGTCATTTTGGCAGATACAGCATATCCAAAAGAGGTGATATTCCAGTTATTCAAGGTCAGAAGGGTCCTGTCAGAATGATGGATAGAGAAGCAATATATATCGTGAAGTCATGCACTCACACACATACGCACACACAAACCAACAATATTCTCAAAGTGCTCAGCAGAAATAAATGTGGTGGTGAATGATGAGCTGGCATTGAAAGCATTAATATATAATTAGTATTGATCGCCATCAGACCCCCTGCGTTGGTCACCACACACACACACACACACACACACACACACACACACACACACACACACACACACACACACACACACCTCCAGTATTGAGTTGTGGTTAAGCAGCCTATAGTGGCCGAGCAGGCTTCCATCTGTGTGCAAATCAATACAACAAGCTCTCCTACCCTTATGATTAGCAAAGAGACCACTCCCTTTTACAAAGAATAAACACTACACTACCGCCATGATTCAGCATCATACATCATAGTTTCAACTGAGCGGGAGTTGCAGGAGTCTGGTTGCACATGACTTCTTCATCCACAAAATTAATATTTGAATATTAATTAATTATCAAATGTTACCTTGAATTCATTAAGAGAAATAAATAGTTGGTTTCTCACGCATGCCTCCAAGGTGAATGAAGAATAACAAAAAGGAGAAAGTATTGATGAATTTAAATGAATAGAGGCCACATTGAAAAACAACAAGACCACATCAAAACATCTGAATGCTCACACAATTTGTTTCTCATTTATTCTGCCGTATGCTTACCACTTTTCCAGCGCATGCATTATTCCTATAACCTAACAATTGAATACACTTCTGTCTTGTCCTGACACTGAGGAGTAGGGTGTACACATAGGTGTAACTAATCACATGACAAACTACAATACTTGATGGAGTAAACTGTTAATGCTATGGCTGGAACTACTACTCATCATACATTTTTCAATAAAAGGAAAATGTGCTCTGGGACCTCATTTATAAAGCTTTGCGTAGGATTCACGTGGGAAGGTGGTGTACGTACCAGCACAGGTTTTTTCCTCTGTCCCAGATGTGCCTCCTACACACGGTCGTAATGATCCCATGAGTGCCATTATTACACCTCGTGTGGACAGCACTGCACACACCTCCGCTCATCCCTCAGGGGTGTTGAGCGTGAACGAGCCTCATAAGCCGCTTTCACACCAAGTACTTTTCCGTACTTAGTGGCCAGCACTTAGTACCCGAACTAAATACAGATTACGTTCACACCGTAAACTTAAATTCCCTGAGGATTACGCAAATGAAGCCGCTGAGGTCACTTCTTCTTCTTCTGCTTTGGGTTTACTGGCAGGCCGCAAACCACTTCACGGCGTATACTGCCACCCGAAGTTCCCGGCTGGAAGTCCCCAGAGTTGGGGACTGGCTTCAGTAGAAGCTGCTGGGACTCCCAGCAGCTTCTACAGAGTAAATCGCCAGAACGCCGACACCTCCTCATCACTCCACCGCTCCAATGTTCTTTTTTGTGTTGTCATAAGTTATGCTCTCTTCGTTGGTGCGCGGGGCTAATGCTAATAATGCTAATGCCAGCAAATACAATGGCGGCTTCACAAAACTTTTCAGAGTTTTACGGGGCGTGGTCTCCCCAGGATAGTACCACCTCTCTAGCAGGCACTAATAATGGGGGTAAAAGTTCTCGGAACTAAGTACTCTTTTTGATGTGAACGCAAAATTCCAAGCACTATCGGAACTAAACGGGAAAAGTACGGGTAAAAGTACTCCGGTGTGAACGCGCCTAATGTCCGGTTTACGAGCCTTCTCCTAAACAGCGACATAATGAGAGCCTGTGTGAAATGCAGCGTGTGGAGGGCTCTGAGTATACTCAGAGTATTACTCAGAGTGGCGGCGCGTGTGTCTGATGGACAGATGGATGAGCAGGCGGATCAGCAGAGGGTAGCCTACACTCTGCAGTTCACCCCCCCCCCCCCCCCCCCCCCCCCCGCAGTTCAACGGGATACAGGAAACAATCCTGTCATCCCAAGAACAGTGTCTCGCGCTCCTTTCAGAGCTCCAGGAACTCCTGTTAAAAAAAAAAGCCTTTTCCAGGAGTCCTCAAGGGGAAGAAAATCAGGGGTTTTTACTCCCGCTATTTTCTGGTCCCGAAAGAGACGGGGCAGGGGGGAATGAGACCCATCCTCGATCTGTCAGTGTCCAACAAGGAAATGGCCTTTTCACATGCTGACGATCAAACAGGTGCTGGAGTGTGTTCACCAGGGAGACTGGTTCATTTCCATAGACCTGAAGGATGCATACTTCCACGTAACCATCATCCCGAAACACAGCAAATTCCTGCGTTTCTCATTCCTGGCTCCACGCACTTTTTCAAAGTGTGTGGAGACGGCTCTGGAGCCGCTACACAGAATGGGGATGAGAGTGTTATTTTACCTGGACGACCTGCTGTGGCTGGCTCGCTCCAGGGAGGAAGTCGCTTCACAGACGGTACAGCTCGTATCTCATCTGTCAAGCCTGGGTTTCATTTATAAACTGGAAGGAGAGCTGTCCTCTTCCCTCCCAGATTATCATTTATCTGGGAGTGGAATAAAACTCGGCCACCATGAGAGTGCGGCTCTCACGGCAGAGAGTGGAGAAACTGACAGCTCTCCTCCGGCATGTCACACCCTGCAGCGTGGTGACAGCCCTCTCCGTGATACAGCTGTTAGGCATGAGGTCAGCTGGTCATGTGGTGATCCCCCTGGGTATCCTTCACATGAGGAGACTCCAGACGTGGTCTTTCGCCTGCACATCGACCCCGTGCGTCAGACGAGACGCATGGTGTACATTCCTCCGTCCGTGGATTTAGATTTAACCTACTGGAAAAATCTCCACGTCCTGTCAGTGGGGGTGCCCCTGGGCAGAATGACGTCATACACCTCGGTGTTCACAGACGCATCTCTCTCAGGGTGGGGAGGAACGTGCGTGTCACAGGCGGTGGGGGAACAGTGGCCGGCTCACATCCAGAGGAGGTCCTCGCCAGGGGGACTGGAGCCTCCGTCCCGAACTGGTCTCCCAGGTATAGAGCAGGTTCGGGAGAGCAGAGGTGGATTTGTTCGCTGCACACGGGAACACACAGTGTTCCCTCTGGTTCCCTGAGAACGCAGGACCAACCCCCCCCTGGGGTTGGACGCGTTCGCACACCAACCTTGGCCCAGGGTGTTTATATACGCTTTCCCACCAGCCCCACTGATCCCTCGGTTCCTGGACCGATTGCAGGAGGAGTGGCTGACAGCGGTCTTAATAGCCCCGGAGCGCACGGGAGCGTCCTGGTTTCCATGCCTACAGCGGATGCTGTCAGGCAGACCGTGGGAAATTCCGTGGCGCTGGGGCACTCTCTCCTAGGTGGAAGGAGCGATCAGCGGTCACCCAGTGATAGGCCAGCGTTTGTGGGCATGGCCCCTGAACGGGAACACTTAGAGGGGCTTGGCCTCTCTCAAGATGTTGTACGTGTTGTTTGACAGGAATTTGGCTTATAGCACGGTCAAAACATATGCTGCTGCCATTTCATGTTGCCACGTAGGTTTCGGTGTCAGCACAGTGTTTAGTCACCCTC